CTAAACTTAGCTATCCCTACTTCTATACTACTTAAATATCCTATTAAAGTCTTAGTATAGCTTATCTAATTAGTAATACGTCTATTAGGGAGTTAGGGTTTTTATAGACTAATACTATAGTTCTAATATATATAAGTATCTCTAGTAATAATTAATAGTCTTAAGGTAAAAGGAATATTAAGATTATATACTAATTGTTAATTAGTTACGTGTGGCTGGCGCGAGCGTTTACTTATAACTTTTATATGTTTTAGTATAATTAGAAAGCTATAAAGAATCCTTTGCTAGTACTATATATACTAAGCCTAATAATATATTGCTTTACGAATCATATTATATACCCTGATTATTAAGTTATGGGATATAAAAAAGATACAGATTGTATGACATGCTGCAGTAATGGTGCTTAGGATTCTCTGATCCAGAAACTCAAGCCAATTTGGTTCTGTTCTTCAATGAGTCTCCACCTTCTTGTAGTAACCACACGCCGAAAAGCGGAATGCTTATCAATCTGTAACTCATGCCGTGATAGCAGATGAACAGACGGCCCAGAACCTCAGCTTGATGTCGTCTATTTTCTTTTGCCATTGTAGGCTCCTAGATGATAGTTTTTCATCTGTTATGTCCGACCAACAGGATTGGAATTGTGCCATACGCCGTGATCAGGAGCCGGCATGACTTCTCATATTCATCCCCTGGCGCTAGCAATCGCAGTTAGGATTAGTGGGGCGAAGTGTCCATACTCCACATGAACGAACAGGAATGGATTATGGCAGGGGCAGATATGCGCAGTAGACAGCTAGGTCAGTGCTAGAGGCTACGCCCGATGGATGATGAGCGACAACATTGGGAGTTTAGTGTCGACTAATATTCTTAGCTACTGCATTATCATGTTGGCCTCGGTCTCTTTCGAGATTCTTATGCCAAGTTTCATCGATAAATATAGAGATACAGTTTACTTAACCAATGACACTTACAAAGAACACGACTCCGGGTATTTATTTAGCCTTTTGATCTAGGATTATATCTTCTCGCATGATCGACAAGCTTGATTCCCCAGATTGTGAAGAGGGGTCAGCTGGCATCTCGGAGCCCAACGTCACCAGCTCCGATCCCCCTGATGATTAACATCGCGATCCTGACCGTAGTATGTTTCCATGTCTCCACTTTGCCAGGTTCCACCAATCGCATTTCCAGCCGACAAGCGGACGGACTCAGTCAGGGACTGGCGGTCATGACTCTTAACTCGGTTGCCATTGAGAATCCTGTTTATCGCTCACCCGCCATTATTACCGTTACATGAACTACAGGGATCTGGGCTATACAAGGGCTGAGCAGACCACAAGCAAAAACGATCGTGGTTCGTCTCATCTTTTCCAGGAGTCCCACCGCCATTGTAGGTAATCAAGCGCGCGGTACGGGACTTCTCCGAGGCTCCATGTCGTTGGGTGTGCATGACAAAGAAAATTTCGAGCCAAGGATACGAGATTAAGGGATCATCCTGGATAATTGTACCAAGTAATAGGAAATGGCTTCAAGGGACAGTATTCCGTTTTCAAGTTATATAAGAAGGGATCGACGACGCTGTTTTGCGTAGTTCCTACAACCTGATTGCTTCGTCAGTGGCCTTCGTACAACCCCTTAAGTTTGGTTAGCTCAAAGTCTATCATCATGGTTCGTTCTCTCTTGGCCCTTGCCCTGCTCAGCACCCGAGCTTTGATCGGCGCTGCTGCCGAGGTCGAAACCCGGACGATCGATGAGATCTACAAGGCTGCTCTTGCAGAAGGCGGCGTCGTCACTCTGTTCCAGGGCGGTGATGAGCGCTCCCAAGCAAACGGCCTGAAGACCAACTTCGAGAAAAGGTTTCCTGGCATGACTCTGAACGTGACTGTCGATGTCTCCAAGTACCACGACGGAAGAATAGACGACCAGATCGCAGCCAACAACGTCTACGTCGACAGTGTCATCCTCCAAACGCTCCACGACTACCCTCGTTGGGCTTCTCAGGGTGCTCTTTTGGACTATGCCCCTCTGGGCTACGACCAGATCTTCCCCGAGTTTAAGAACAACGAGACCGCTGCGTACTACGGCCTCTTCATCATCGCATGGGTTGGACAATGGCACTCTGGCAAACTCCCCGGTACCACGGCCCCAGTGGAGTGGGAAGACTGGGTCAGCCCTGAGCTCAAGGACAAGCTTGTCCTCACCTATCCAAATGATGACGACGCAGTTTTGTTCGCCTTTGATCTCATGTAAGTTGTGCAGCTTTTGAGCAATCATGCCCGACAATGACTAATCGTCCAAAACAGTCTGAAGCAGTATGGCACCGCTTGGCTCGACAAGCTCCTCGCCCTGAACCCCCGCTGGGTCCGTGGCACCCAGACCCCAAGCACCATATACAAGAAGAATGATACCCAATGGGCTGCCACTTTCACCTCTTCCGGTAGTCTGAGCCCGGCTTCCCCGATCAAGGCATCATTCCCCGTCAAGGGTCAGTTCGTGTCTTGGCCCCAAACCGGCGGCATCCTCAAGAACGCACCCCACCCGGAGGGTGCCAAGCTTCTGCACTCCTACATACTTAGTGCCGAGTACCAGAATATTCGCGGGGGATGGAGTGTCCGCAACGACGTCCCTGCCCCGCCAAACTTCCCTCCCATCTTGGAGATGCCTGGCACCGACCCTACCGCCTTCGGCAAGTTTATGTCTGACCGCGCGGCGGTTGAGAGACTTCGCTTCTGGCTTGAGGACCGACTCGGCACCGCTCAGGGTCTTAGCCCCCTTATCGATGATCTCTGAGCTTCAAGTTGTGACGATAGACACGAGCAAATCTCTTCCATTCTTAGTTCATCCTTATGAGAGGACAGCTTTCTGGCCTCTCGAGTAAATAAATATTTTGTATATGAATATTGAATCAAAAGGTGACTGATATCTCTTGTGACTTATGTATAACAGTGTTGTAGACAAAAGTGAATAATCCTGGCACACATCACCTTACATAACAAGTAGAATACCCCCCCCCCCCCCCCGCCTTTACATAACGTAAAGAATTCCCTAATACGTTTTTTGTTCCATTCAAACTTTATTAAGATACAAGAAACGAGTCATTTTTTACAACAAGCTACATTTATTAAGTTGGTTGTTTCAGGTTTGATTCGTCTATTAAGATGTATTGCTTATTAAGTTGACTATTATTAGCAACTTTTACCCCAGATCACGCTTGCCCACCCACTGCCTTACCCTCAAAACAGCATCACTAGGTGAGTCTCGAGACAGCTATGAGTGCACGATCTGTGGAATATAATTCCATTCTCGGCGGTGGAATGGGTCAGGGAAGAACTGGCCATGATCGCTTTCGCCAACACCGAAATGGATTGGGCCCGACCAAGGCTCCATCTCGTCATCGCGCTTAAAGCCCGCTAATCAACCTAGGAATCCGACTGTAACTTTTATCCTGCACAAAGACGGAATTTTACAAGCGTCTCAGACTTTAAGCCAGCGCAGCTAAAAACGGTAACGTTGGTGTACAAACAGCCCAATTTCTTAGCCAGAGGACAACAAAAACCGACGAGCCTCTGAGCGCTGAACATGACATCGTGTTCACAAGATACTAGCTCATTCATCATGAGCTGCACTTAGAAGATAGCCTTTGCCACTAGAACGAGCTGGCTCCCTGATTGCCACAGAGACTCCCGCCGTCGTCTCCGCATTGAGTTGCGTAGCGGGCCAGTCGAAGCCAAAGAGCCCTGAGAAAATCCAGACGATTTCCGTTGGCACCAGAAGCCGTGCCGTACTACCCACACGGCTTCTCCAGAGACAGTGGGATTGCTCGGCGCCTCATTTCCAAAAGTTAACCTCTACAAGGCTCAAAAGGTCAAAGAGGGAAACTCACCTAGCCGTCTTGTCGCTACCATACGGTGCTTTTCTGAATGTCAATCGCGATATCACACCTAAAACTTGGATGGATATGTATGGATTAATCGAGTTCCAGCCCGGTAACACATTCCACACTAATGGGTTCATCTAGAATTTCATCCAGTTACAAGGTATATCAGACCTTTGTAGCGATGACGCTCTCGTACGATATTTTATCTCGACTCCATGATCGTCGCCCGCCCGCAAAACGTGGTGGAACTTGGGGGGCTCGTGGGGATGAATATCGAGGCCTGGATCACCATAGGACGATCGAGGCAAATAGCATTCATTACCGACAAGTTCTGAAGGCTTGCTTGCACCTGGAAATCGAACGACCAGATAGGTCAACAAAGCGATGCCGCAACGTGCAAGGTCACAGAAGCTGAGCCAATTTTCATGGCCAGCACCCTGTCTTCGAAAAATTGATGAACGGCAAATACTAGAGCTCACAAAATCGCCCGAGGAGAAAGACATTGAATTCCTCGACGCAATTATACCGCAGCCTCTCGAGAACTAGGTCGGGCGCTCGGAAACCTTGAGAAGAGCAAGGCTAGCAAGTGAATGCAGAGAGAAGCGCTGCCGTTGGTATCACTGGGATGGATGGGTGACGAATAGTCGCGGTAAAGTTGTTCTCAATCATTCGTAAGGAGGAAAAGAGGTCGTCTCGGGCTGTCTTCCTGAAAGAAGATTTCACGGTACTAATTGACGAATCGCATGATGCAAGCAAGTAAAGAAAGGTAAATGGAGACCTGGAAGGGAACTGCGATAACAATTTCCAGGCATCTTCTCGTAGGTCTCAATTGCATTTTTGCTCTCAACCTCATCGATCAGCGGCTTCTCCCAGCGTTTGTGGATGTCAATCATACGTGCCCCACATCCCGCATGTGACCTAATTATGCTCAACTATTGATCATTCTCCAAAACGTCCTACCTATAGATATGGCCAGGCCGGGCCAAGTTAGCATGACCGGTACATGAATGAGACTTGAAGCCTTGATGTCATTTTCATTACCGTTACAAATACACCTGCCCCACTCCAGTTGTAAGCAGCATATACCAAAATTGACGCTAGACCACCAATAATCATCGGGCGCTTGGTCTAGGGGTATGATTTTCGCTTCGCATGCCGTCATAACGGAATACGATGTGAAAGGTCGTGGGTTCAATTCCCACAGTGTCCATTTTTGCTAGCTTTTGACGGGTTCTTTTTAGGCATCGTGGAAGTGAAACTGTCGTGAGTATAAACAGTGCATTCCCAACCTATAATTACCACACAGGGAGGGCCTCGACACCGTTTTGATCGTAGGGGATGAAATCGATTGATGCCATATTATTTGCTAGGTTTTTAGCCCTGTTAATGTACGAGGCAGCAATTCGGTGCCAAATTACACATTCTCTGCTGTTTAAAGTGTTTATGCGATAATTCAGAGACAGTATTCATATTCAAGCAACTCATGACACAAAGCGTTGTTTGCACACGCTAGACCGGATAAGAAAGTGTGAGTGGTAACATAGGGTATAGGGCTTGTCTAATCGAAAATAAGAGCATCGAACATTTAGACTACTTTTTGATTCCTTCGTTTCTGCTTCCAGTCTCGCTCACGGTAACTCAAGGGGTTGGTTCTGTGCATGGCGTTGGCACTTCCGATGTGCTAAGATCATCCTCACACTGATGGGGGATGTTGTCCTCGGAACAAGTGCTCCGACGCTGCGGCTCTCCTTTACTTGGCTTCAACAATGTCATGGCCTGGTAGACGGCGTCAGGCTCAGGTTCAGAAAAAGATCCAACCACTGGACCTTGGTTTCCGGCAAGTGGTCGGCTTGCACTAAGTGCCCCAGCCAACTTGTCAGGAATTTGTCCTTCTGTCTCCGAAGGTGCCGGTGCGCGTGTTTGGCGGTTAACGCTGTCGGAACCTTGGAAGACGGAGCTGATCTTTCGGGTAAGCTTCTGCATCAAACCAGACTTGGGGCCTGGATGCTCTGGAGTGAGGGGTTCGGCGAGCTGAGCAGATCGTTGCCTTCCGCTTTCGGCTGATGCAAGAAGGGCATGACTCTGGTCGCGTGGCTGTATGTTAACGACAGCTTCAGAGGCACTTCGGGAGGATTCGTTCGTATTGAATTGCAGAGGGCCTTGACAAGGGTTCTCGTTGGATGCCGCGTCCTTTACTTTTTCTTCAGCCGGAACACGGGTAATTGAGGCCATGCTACCGGATCTTGCGTCGATCCCAAGATGATACATGTCGGTGCCATCTTTCGAGCCAAAAAGGTTCGCAGGAGGACTCAGCCAGTCATTGGTGCAGTGTCTCTTCGAGAGTGCTGGGAACGACGTCATTTTATGGCGTTTGTTCTCATCGTCATGAATGACCAAATTCTTTATGTTTTCCTGGTCGTGACCGGACTTGGACACAAGTTGATGATCAAGAGAGAAGCCATGAACTTGAGGTGCTTCGTGGGCAGCTGCTGGATCAAAGATGCGACTAGGCTCATTGTCGGTGGATATATCGAGCATGGGAGGAGCGTATCGGAGCAAATGAGGGCCATTGTCACTGTTTTCGAGCCACTGGATGTTAGTACTGCCCCCCTGGGAGATAATTTTCGTGGCAGGTGCTTGTTGGGGCCTTATTTTTGAGTAGATCTGCCCATCTGAAGCGCTTCGAGCAACGAATGAAGTCTCTGGCTCGCTGATAGTGGTTGCAGGGCCAGCTGTAGTTGAAGGTCGAGGCTCAATGGAATATTTGAGACAACTAGGCTTCTTTGAAGGCCACTTTGTTACAGAGTCGCCTGTTGCCTGATCAGAATCTGCAGCTGGTGCGCTTTGGGAGCTGGAATCCTGCTTGCACATTTCTTGGAAGACGATCTCGACAACGCGCTGAACTTGAATGTCATCCAGAACATACTGGCAAGATTCTTGTGAACAGGTATTCGGTAGGCCAGCCTCTTGAGGTGAGATGGCTTCTATTTTGCGACGCCCAGCAAGGTGATCTCGGACCTTTGCCATGATGCGCTGCATCCGCATGTGAGGCTTGCCCCATATTTTGTAGCCATATCGCCCTGGGTCATCTGCGTTTTGCCCTGGCAGAACAAATCTTGGATCATGAGGCACAGTGTCGGGGTTCTTGGCGCTCACGAAGTCGTCAGGGACTCGAGCTGATGCCACCGAAAAAGGCTGATGTGTGGCAGTTGGCACAGTCGGCTCCGGTCTGATACCATCGTGCGCACAGCATGGATCAAGTGTCTCGCTGGCAAAGCGATCTTTAGCTATCCAGTGTTGTTAGCAGTAAGTTGAGGTAGCATCAATATGGTGAATGATCATTGTTACCTTCGCCTGAGACATCCACCACTTCCGCTTTATCGACAAGCTCCTCGACAGATATTGGACTGTGGGGATGAACACTAGTTTCTGCTATACTCATACATCGCGAGGGTCGACGAAATACTGGGCCGGCTTGTGGAACCCAGTCCATGGTCACATCATCGCCCTGGCTGAGCAAGCTACAGTTGAGCGTGGTGGATGGTGCTGGGGGGACGATGGATACGCGTCGCTGAGCTGTTGGGCTCTTTTGCGTAGTTGTCGGATAGATGATGGAACCATTTTGGCATTTTGGAACAAAGACCCCAGGCAGCTGCGTTATTCCGGATCGTTCATGGACGGGGGCGATGGGCTCTCTTGTCGAGGGTGTCTCTTGGAGGTCATCATGGCCGGGACTGGAGCCGCCGCCCATGTTCGACGGGCAGCTCAGAGAACAAGGGGAGAGTCGAAAAAAGACAGGGTGCCAAGGAACATTCGAGATAAGAACATGAAGAGAGAAGACCGAAAGTCAAGGTGTGTGTGGCCTTGACGAAAGGCTAGAGGGATAAAGCGTCGATAGGGTTGACGATGATGAGTACAATCCAGAAGAGGAATGGGAGAGTCAATGGTTCGTACAGCATATTTGGGCAAGGGAAGACGAAAGGCAGCACTTGTTTCAAATCGAAGCAGTTCGAGATCCATCATGGCTTCCTCAATCGGCGGAGGAATTGGCGGGCAAATGCTGAGAAGGCACGATCGTCTTTGGGTGGGAGCATCTCAGCATAGTGCCTATGGAATAATTCTAATTCACATGAGCAATTGCCCCGACCAAAGCAGACAACGAAGAATTTAAGCCATTGTTGACAAAGCCTGATCAGGCGCGAAACTGGCATCAATTTGGCAGTCTTTTGGTACCGACGAATGTAGCGAAGACGTTGCTGGTCATGATGAGAAACCAAGGTTCAAGAGTCTATCGACGAGATGACATAAGCGAAAGCACTGGCGGGGGTTAGACAGTGCTAGATTACAGTGCGTTTGCGCGTTTACTGTCTGCTGCCAGGCCTGCGCCTGGACCAATGAAAATCCCTGCGCAACAAAAGGGTTTTCGACTGGATCGGTAAAATCCTCTTCGGTGAAGCTTTCGTGAGCTCTCATTAGCTCTCAGGAACTGCCATTGTCTCGACATTTCGACGACTCGACGGGCATACAACGCCCCGGCAACAAGCGCTACGAGTCTGTTCGTTTTGCCCTTCCCTCGGCTCGATAATATCTAATCATGACCCCAAGTGTCGCACCGACTACTCTCGATCCTGCTGGACTTTCATCCGACACCAGCAGCGCCTACACGAGGCTGCACATCACTCCTTTCGACCAGGACCTCTTGAAAATTGTCGTCCCACCCTCGGCCTTGCCAAACGCCCGCAATCTGTCTTTCCACACAATCGAGACCTTCCCCGAGAAGCGCTACGGCTTCGTCGATCTTCCCGAGGCCGACGCCGAAAAGCTCAAGAAGAAACTCAACGGTGCCGTGCTGAAGGGGGTCAAGATGCGCATCGAAAAGGCCCGTCCCGTCGAGGACTACACTCCCGTCCCCGAAGACGAAGAGACGGGGAAAAAGCGGAAGAAGAAGTCCAAGGACAAAGAGGAGAGGAAGCGGCAGAAGCGCGACGAGAACGTGATTGAGGGCGTTAAGCTTCACGATCGCAAGGTCAAGCGAGGATGGACCGTCCCCGAGGAGGCTAAGATAAGGGAGAAGAAGAGCAAAAAAGACAAAGAAAAGAAGGAGAAGAAAGACAAGACCAAGAAGCGCGAGGAGCGCTCCAAATACACCGAAAAGGAGGAGTGCTTGCTCAAGACCAAGCTGCCCGTCAAGCAGCTTCCCGCGGCAACCGAGGCCGAGGACGAACCCGAACGCAAGAAGCGCAAGAAGAAGTCGAGAGAAGTCATCATCCACGAGTTTGAGAAGACGACAAAGTTCCCCACCTTTCTCAAGGCCACCAAGCCAGCACCGGTCGAGTCGCTCACCACCGAGTATGTCGAAGGCAAAGGATGGATCGACGCCGAGGGAAATGTCATCGAGCCGCCGAAGACGAGGAGAACTGCAACGGCACCCGTTCCGGAGTCCAAAGCACCCAAGGCGTCCAAGAAGGCCAAGGCCCCTCCGCCGCCGCCGCCGCCGCCTCAAGATGAAGATGACACAAGTAGCAGCGGCACATCATCCGATGAGGATACCTCCTCAGACGAGAGCTCAGACGATGAGACGGAACAGGTCAAGGCGGCGCCAGTGACACCTGCAAAGCAGACGCCGAGGCCGCCGCCTAAGGAGGACGATACTACCAGCAGCAGCGGCTCTTCGTCAGCTGACAGCAGCTCCGAAGATGCCTCAGACGATGATGAAGAAATGGTCGATGCTGCAAAGACTTCCGAGACAGCCATTTTGGAGACCCCTCTGTCTGCCATCAGGACTGCCGATGCATCGCGGCCCATATCCGCTGGGTCCAACGTCAGCCTTACTATCAAGATACCTCCTCCCTCGACCCCGTCGCAGGTGCACCCTCTCGAGGCCCTCTACAAACGCCCGAAGCAGGGTGACGAGGGGAACCCTCAAGCCGCTAAAGAAGCCGAGCCTTTCAGCTTTTTCGGCGGTGGTGCTGACAACGACGACTTGGAGGAGGATGGAGACGCTGCGGAGGCTAGCCAGCTGCCCATGACCCCCTTCACCGCAGAGGAGTTTCAGTGGCGCAACGTCAGAAGCGCTGCGCCCACGCCCGACACGGCGCACCCAAATCATACGAAGCCGTTTTGGGCCATTGGCGCTGAGGGCGAGGACGAGGACGAGGACGAGGAGACGCGGGAGGAAATCGAGGCGACACTGAACGCGGAGCGGAACGC